TTGTGTTGTGTTTTTTCTGTTGGGGCGCGTGCATGAGTGTGTGTGTGTGTGTGTGTGTGTGTGTGTGTGTGTGTGTGTGTGTGTGTGTGTGTGTGTGTGTGCGCGCTCTGGGCACATTTGAACTTGATTATGCACTTTTGGGGTATTACTTCCAGACTTGTAGCGCGTGATATGGAATAATTATTTTACAGCCCATTCGCCGATCGTTCTTTGTGTTTGTCTTAATGCGGACTGATCACAGCATGTCCCCCCCCTGCTCTGCACTCCCCCTTTTTTTTTTGCGATGTTGAGTATGTGGTGGGTCTGTTTTTTATGTCCGACGCTTGTACTTTTAGTCCTAAATTAGGATTTCAAAATGCAGCAAACAAGTGACAATTTTGAGAAAGTGCACCAGAACCTTAGCGGAACGCAACCGGGTGACCAATTCAAGGCAGTCCGGGTTGGGTTTGGGTTTCATAAACGATAACCCCCGGACATAGTGCATGCACGACGAAAGACTTATGGTTCGTAACGCCGCATGTTTCCCTTACGGCACCGCTCCAAGCAAATGTGTTGAATTACAACGTAAGCCGGTGCCAACAAACAAGTTTTTGTTTTTGCCCCGTTCCGAGCTTATTCTATGTTGTCTGGCAAAGGGGCGCTCGTATTGTCTTTCTCCTAAAAATCCAAGATGCGTTTGCACTAAAAGCTTTTTCGAGACAAACAAAACCATCCATTACTCCACCGGTCAAACATCATCAAGTTCGAGTTCCCAACTTCTGGCATGGTCAGCTCATGGGAAAAATATAGATATGTTTATATATTTTTTTGTAGTTGCAGAATCCCAAAAACATTTAAGCTGCGCACGCCTCTCACCAACAACAACTTCCACCACATTTCCCGACTCCGTAGGACGGCGATTCCCAACCGCTGTGCTGTCGCGGGAAATTACTTGAAAATGATTTGACTCCTGTGTCTTTGTTCATCTATCTGTGCTGGTGACGTATAGTGACAGGCAGTACGATGAAATGCTCTTCCAGTACATGTCAGCAGCTACAATTGATCTGTGTATCCGCTTGTTGCTAGACGTACAAAAACAACCACAACAACAAAATCACACTGACTAAATACATTTGTGAGCAAATTGAGATGAGATTATGATAATGGTATTCAATAAGTGACACTTTAGTTTGGTCGTGTGTCTTGGGATTTTCGAATGTCAAATACGTGCCGAGTCTCCGCCGAGGCTGGGAAACGCCGTCTTCTGGTGAGGGCTCGTTGCATGAATCTGACTGCATCAAACCAAAATGGCTCCTTTCCTGTCCACTTTTGAGTTTGGAATTCAGGTTGACTTTGAAAATGGAGACGCCGAACCAATTAAGTTCGTGAACTGAGGCGCCACCGTAGGAACCCAATTTAATTTCAGGCGTAGGCCCTTGAGAATGTCTCATGTGTGCCCCCCACCACCCACACACACACAAACTGATTTTGCCCGCCCCTCGTTTTCTTCCAACTGTTCCAGGCCCCTCATCCCCAAGGAGTGCCAGCGTCAGGTGGAGCCTCCCGAGCTGCTGATGACAGCTTGTTCCCGACACTGCAAGAACGGCCACTGCACTCCCACTGGCAAATGCTGCTGCAGCCCCGGCTGGGAGGGGCCCTTGTGCCGCATCGGTGAGGCTTGTTTTCTTCAAATGTCCTCAACTGTGCCATGACTTAAATGCGAGATCATGTCAACATTCTCAAGCCTCTTCGGTATTCCGAAGCGAGACGGCAGTCCGACATCCCGCCAAAATCTTCTCCGCTGCACCGTGCGCATCGTTTACGGAGTGGCCCGAGACCGTGATTGGTACACTTCCTGCCCCTGACCTATTACCAGTGTGGGAACTCGTTCCAAATGCATGCTACACTTGTACACTCACCTCGACTTCAGAGTCCCCGTTTGGCATGACTGCAGACGGTGATGATGTCAACAAGGTCCCAAATTCTAAATCATTTCCTTGAGGTTTGGCCCACCCGGCCTTGTTTTTGACCTACTTTCTCCCGTATTGTCGGACACCGGCAAGAAATACGGTGCCCAAGTATGAGTCAAAAAGATTACGTATTAGACTGCGGGGGGCGATCAAGTATTATCATTTTGCCAATTAACCCTTTCATGCCCCCTGTAACCTGATAACATGATAAGCTGTCCACCGTAATAACCGCTGTCCCTGAAAGGGTTAAAAAAAAACAAAAAACTTTCCCTCCTTTTTTCCCCCCCTTCTCACACTGACCTTCGCATTGTGTGTCATGTGTGTGAGTGGGAATACGCCCACAGTTGCGCCCTGTGACAAAGAGACATGATGCGGTTTCCAATTAGGACTTGTTTTGGCTGACGTTTGTATTGTCCAACATGGACAACAAGTACAGTTGCCCTTGGAAAAAAAAAAAATAGGACGTAGTAGTTTGTAAAAGAAGTCGTAGCAGCGAGCGGGTCCTCGGCTTGGATGGGATAAAACCGTCTCGGGTTGAGTTTTGGACCACTTGGGCATGAAGTACAGCGGAAGTGGGATCAAAAAGACTCCAACCCTACCAAACCACTTCCGGTCTTGAGCCGCTGGTGGTGCGAACCGATCACAAAGCGACAATGTGTTTGCGAGGGAGGGGGATACGGGTGTGTGACTCTTTTTTTTTTTCTCCTCACTGACAATTGGCTTGATTCAAAAATCACCATTAAAGTACTTTTTGCCCACATGTTTAAATTGCAAAAAAAAGACGACAACGGTCGCTTCATGCCATGATGCCGTCCGTGCCAATCAGCTGGTTAAAAACAAGGTGCATGCCGGTAACGATGTTCTTAATATCCGCTTTAATTTGCGAGTAGTGTGTTTTACGTCCAAATGAGGTCAAACGTGGAGGAAATAACAACAGTTTGATGATGTGCCTCCCGTTTTCTGAAGGGACCAAAAGCAAAGAGACAGTTGAGTGCTCAGCTGCTCTGTGGCCAGGTGGACGTTTATGGCGGCCAGTGCAACTAGATTTATTGATGACGTGCGCTTCAGAACTCTTTGGATGGCACTTCACAGGCAACCATGAGAGGTTTTTTTTTTTTCGAGGGGGGGGGAGGGTTAAAGAAGTGGAATGTTATGCACCGGCCAAGTAAGTCACTTGACCTGAATCCAATTGAGCATGCATTTCACTTGCTGAAGACAAATCTGAAGGGAAAACTGAAGACAACTGCATGAGAGGCCTGGCAGAGCCTCACCGTGGATGAAATCCAGCATCTGGTGATGTCTTTGTCTTCCAAACTTCAGGCTGTTATTCATGGCCAAGGGTTTCCAATCAAGTATTGAAAAGGGAAAGTTTGACTTTGGATTGTTAATTTTGTCCCATGACTTTGGGCGCCTTCTAAAGGAGGAGCCATTTACATATGTTGTGTGAACCGTAAATAAAAACAGAATACAATGGCTCACTATCTTGCCTTTGTAGTGCACTAAATCAAATGCAGGTTGAATGTGATTTGCAAATGTATGCTGTTTTTATTTATGTTGAACACAACATCCCAACTTCATTGGAATTGGCTTTGGATCGCAATTCCTCTACGGTCCACTTTTCAAGTCCGTCGTGGTGATGTTTAGGGTCAAAATCGTGTTAATGGCATCCATGCCACGATATTTATGGACCTGGCTGTAAGTATGGTAGCCCAAAAGGGTCAAAATGCCTCAATAGTGCACAGAAAATTGGTGGCTTGGCATTGCCGGCCACCAATTTTCTTTTTCCAAAACCTTCATCACGACTTGATTGGACCCAGCGTAACCACTTCCTGTCTTTTCAAACCCACCCCCGCAGCCAAGTGCGACCCAGGCTGCCGCAACGGAGGCGTGTGCATGGAGCCCAACAAGTGCCTGTGCAAGAGCGGCTACTCGGGCGACCAGTGCGAGCAAAGCGAGCGGGGCATGCCCAACGACCAGGAGAAGGACGGCCTCCTGGACCACATCATCGACATGACCTCGTACCTCCTGGACCTGACTAGCTACATCGTATAAAGAGACTCTGATGGGGGAGGGGAGGGCGTCCTCGTCGGCACCTTCCATCCTCGCCCTACACGAATCTACCTAAGCGCCACTGGCCAACGAGGTATCCTCTTTTTTTTTTGCCCACGCTGACACATGAAAAAAAATGGATCTCCATCACAGCTGCCTTTACTCGACATCACCGGACATTACGGTTACTTACTGGACGATAAGCTACTTGCTCCCCCCACCACCCGACCACCAGGCCTGGAATCCAAGTCTCGGAAAACGCCGAGCCAAGACGTTTTTTGCTTCTCTCTGGGACAAATATTAAAAAAATAAAAAATAAAAAACTGCGCAAAGGAGCGACAGTTTCTTTTGCCGTGATGTCGTGGTGACTTTTGGAGACAAGATTGCATCCACAACCGTTGGACATTTTCAGCGCGGGATGAGGAGAGACGCTGGATTGCGTCCCCCGTGCTCCTCATTCATGACAAAACATTTCAAACGCAAACACCTTTGCACAGTTGCAGTCCAACCTCCTAACGCTAGCCTCTTTCATACAGAGACCCTGCAAAAGGAGCAGCGTCAGAGCCGTAACGGAGCGGGTCGCTGTGACAGTGACACTTCACACTGGTCAACACATTTTTACAACATTCTTTCATCAGAGATGCATGTAAACATTTCGAGTTTTTTTTTTTGGGGGGGGCGGCCTGATTCAGAGTCTGTTCTTGTTTTTCTCTAGCACATCAGGTTTTTGATAAGAAAACATATGTAAAAGATATTTAGCAATGTTTACAGATTAAGGGTAAGGTTCAGCAACAGGTGGTATTTTTTTTCCCAACATGCCACAGCTATAAATGACCAATCGTAAAATCTATACTGCGCAAGCTTTCATAGGTCAAACTTAAAAACAAAAACAATGAAAATATGTCCAAAACATGATGTGCTAGGAAAAAAAAGGAAAACCTTTTTTTTTGGGTGTCAAAAAATACATTACGTGACACATAAAGCCATCTCTGATTAAAGTTTGCTGTTTACCGGTGTAATGAGATAGGCTTCGATGCTTGGTGTGACGTGAAAAAATTACATGAAACTTTTGAGGCCTTGATGATTGCTTTTGACGCATCAGGGCGGGACATGTAAGTTCCCCCTTCCAAACAGGGGCCTGTGCCGCCTCTGTTACAGCTCTGATACTACCCCCGAAGCCACAAAATGGCCATTTGATTTCATCCAAGTCCCTGCAGGAACAAATCTGCCCTTTTCCCACGTTTGCCTTTCACACGGAATCCAGCTAAGGTGGGACATGGCCCACAACTGTGTGCACAAAAATGTTATTTGTCGGGCTGTGACGTTTGCTTTCAACACGACACGGCGAGTGTCGTGACTTTCAATGAAGTGTTTCCATTTGTGCATTCGTGCTCTGTAAAATTGTCACCGTCATGACAGATCAGTCGGGGTTGGGAAATGTGGAAAAATGTCGCCGTTTCGAAAAGGGCGGTGTCAAAGGGGCAAGTTGAATGTCCGAACCACAAAGGGAAGAAAAGGAGGAGGTAGCAAATGGTGATGTATATTTCCTCTATAGAGCTTACCCACTACTTCTTAGCATTGCAAAAATAAACAAAAAAAGTGAATAATAAGAAAAGTAAAAAAAAACATAGCATTATTATTATTGTTATGATAGAGGGGGGTTTATTTTTTTAAGTGTAATAATATATGGGAGAGATCGGTGTTTATAAAAATACATTTTACACTAAGATTTTTGTCCATTTGGTGTTATTTGCAGCTTGATTTTTAAATGCCCTTCCCCCAAGAATCTGCTACAAAAAGCTCCACCACAGAGCCCCGATGTTGGCGTTTGTTCTTGTTCAAACGCTATCATGGTGTTTTGGTTTTGTTTTGTTTTTTGTTGTTTCGTTTTGTTTTTTTGTTTTTTTTTTCTTTTTGAATTTGTTCACCTCGTTGATGTGTTTGCTGACATAATAAGTCTACCTGGTCGAGAATGAGTCCACAATGGAATTTTTATGCTGTAAAATGGAAGAAAAAAAAAGTCTATTTTTTGTTTTGTTTTTGTTAGCACTTAATGTGAACGTTGTTGCATTGTAGCTGCTGAGACGGCATGGTGTGAATAGAATAACCATTTTCATTATTTAAGTAGTAGTTACACAAAATGAGATGATAATTATTTAAGTATGTCATTGTACTGTATGTGTGCATTTTTTTTTCTTTTTTGTTTTCATTTTTTTTTTGTATTATTCATGTATTGTAAATACAACTTAGGGATGATAACTTTCTTTTCGGAAATATCAATATGTCTATTAAAATTTATAGCATGTCTCAAGTGTTGATTTTCAGTGTTTGATTCCATCAGGACAAAAGCAAGAACACTGTTGATTTTCAGAATATGCCAAATGGTAGCGAGAAACTCAAGGTGAGAATTCTCTATTCCACCCCCACCCCCCACCGCAGGA